TTCCTGTATCCTTTGTATGATTTCCAAGACATGTAACAAATTGGATGAGAAAAACATTTATTTAAGGCAACAGTAATTTTTTTTTTTTAATTTTTATTTATATCTTCAATGCTGTATATACAAAATTTTGTAGATGTATGTAACACCTGAAAGTTACACTGAAACCAGAAAAAAACATAACTTTTGCAAGGTAAAGTAAGTTGTATGAGAGCATGGATAAAATTTTTAACTTTAACAAACTAATTTTCCTTAACATCCTTTTTTTAGTCAAGCAACAAGATTTGTGGGGATTAAGTCCTTACAAATAATGAATCTGCCCAAAAATGTACTGTTAAATTCTGTTTATTTATAAATCATTGTTCCAGATTTAGGTTCATTTTGCATTTCAGGGGCCATCTCTAAATATTGATTTAACCTCATTAATGTTCATAAGAATGACCAGAAAAAAACTGAGCATGAAACTAACGTGAGCACATTTTGAACAAAAAAACTAGGGTTGATTTTCAGTATAGTTTCATGCACCAGAGCAAAAAAAATAAATGGGGGTTCACTAACAACAAACTATTTACCCAAACCTTTCAGTAAAAAATGTTGGCTAAATGAAGCCCTACTAAATTTAGGGGCTCGACTGATTTTTATTTGCTAAAAAGCTTTTTAAAAACTACAACTGAAGGACCTATTCTAAAATGATGTACAAGTGCAAATTTTTTTTGATGGCCTGAAAATCTAGTTGTAACAATACATAAAGACATTTAATATATCAATCTCTTATGATTAAACTATTTACAATTTTATTCACAATACAAACAAATAAAAGCTCAAGAATATATAACATTATAACATCCATGAAGATATTGTACAATATATCACAACCTGTCCAGTTTCTGACCTAGTTCCTTTTAAAGGTAGAAAATAATGCAGTATGTCCTTATGTCATATATGTAACAATACTGCAGCAAGTAGGAAAACATTTTAAGACTAAATACATGCAGATATGATGTGCTTCTTCCACCAAGCAGAATAAAGTGGAAAGCTGGAAAACAGCAATTGGTATAGGAACATACCAGAGGGAATATACAAGTCTAGAAACAAACATACTGATATATGTGGGAGACATTCAAGATGACATACTCTAATAAATTAAATGATGTTATTAGAAATTAAACAAAGGTAGGTAGTCAATATTTATCTTAAGTAAAAATAGCAATCATTATATTAAAGTAAAACCTCTATTTTGATAGCCAAAAACCTACATTTGTATCTTTGTACTCTATTAATTTGGATTTTATGACCTGCACTAAAATTAAACATAGATGGTACATTGACACACAGATACCATATTCACTACATTATGTATCATATATAGCATTTTGAGGTGGAATTTATACTCACTGTTTTAAGTCCCTCCTTAAAGGAAGTATAACTTGCCAAGTTCTCACTTGGCTCATGTAAGTTACAAAGAGTATGTACAACATCTTGTAGTAAAGGCATCAATTGGAGTCAAAGATAAAACCTAAATCACTAATGAGATCCTACAGTAACCAAAATTTATCAATGCTCATTTCGTACAGTAAATGCCTTACCTTTATGTATGAAACACTAGCTGTAAACAATACTCATGTGAATGACACACAGTATGCAGTTTAACCCTTAAACTGTCCAAACGTAGATCTACGTTTTTTCAACATTTGAAAGTATGTAAAAAATGTAATTTTTTTATTTGAAAATGTGTAAAAAAAAAAAACGATCTACTTTTTTGTTATACTGTATTTGAAAATATGTAAAAAAAAAAAAACTGTAGAACTACTTTTGGAACACTTCGCATGTGAACGTAAATCTGTTTGGACATGTTTAAGGGTTAAGACATTTAGTTATACGTTTTGTCTATCAGGGAATTTATTAATGGACTGATAAAGTCCCTAGTGGACCAAGTCTTTTTAATAAATGTCATAAACCACAAATTGTCTTTTTTTTACACATTTGTTGGTATAATTTACCAATGATACACAGCACTCATGATATTCTTGTGTATGGAATGAATATAACTAATTTCACTTGCAGGTTTATATTTCTGTATAAAGTATATTCTTCATATTAATCTTCATTCAAACATTAATGCTTAAACAATTACACACAAAAAAAAATTTACCACTGTCTTATAAGTTTCTTTAATGTGTCCCATATAATAATAATGTTGGTTTATAATCACAACTCCTAAAAATGTATCTCATGCCTTGCTGCAGGTATCCTCCAAAGAACTAATTACTGTACAATGTTAAATGATGTACATTACTGTGGAAACAAAAATATTACTTTACATTTTAGAGAATTTAGAAAATTCAAGTTAATATTATACTAGAAGCATTGTCAACTACTACTGATAATGATTACTGTATTTACAGTTGCAAGGTTTAAAAATCTCTTAAGTGTTTGAGACTTGCCTTTGTTGCAGGTATCTTCAAAGTTATTTATTAAACCCAATAATTTCACAATGACATGAATGTAAATGACATCTTTTTTATTAACCCAAACATGGTTGCTGTCCTGACAATACCACCTCAACAATAACTGAAAGATAAAAGGAGCCTTATTTGTAACTTCATTTTACAACTTTAATTTTTCTTTTTCTTAAACACCAAGTGTGTTTCATAATAGCTTCAGTATTGCCTTTCACATAAAATAACATACAGAACTAGGAAAGCACTTTCTACTCCTATCTAAAATTTGGGGAGTGTTGAGCTTTTCTTATATGACTAGCTTTCCTTTGAACACTAGAGCATCAAAACAAGGACCTGTGTGTGTTCTACTTCCGTACAAAAGCAAAAATCTTATATAAAGAATAAAATCCCTATCATGTTAAGTATTACAATCAAGAAGCACTAAACCTACAAGGGTCATACAATACAATATCATGTTAATAAATGCATCTTTTTACTGGAAACTGTCATGACAGAATAAAAAAACATTTCATGATTTAGTTACTTCATTGTTCAAAAAATTCAGATTCAGGAAAGAATTGGTTTAGTAATAGAGTTGTGGATGAGTCAAACAAATTCCCGAGTACTATCATAGAAGCTAAAATGTTGTGTAGTATTAAAAATGGGTTAAATACATGAGTGGGTGTGAGCTGGACCTGACTGGCTTGTGCTAATTGGTCTGATGCTGTGCTCCTTCCTTAACCCTTAAACGGTCCAAACGTATATATACGTTCACTCGCGTAGCACCCAAATGTATATACGTTTTATTTTTCCTGACAACAAATTTGGCACGATTGGCCCGAGATGCCTGGTCAGCATAGAATTGGTCTTAACACTCGGTGTGCACAGTATTAAAAAAATCTGGGACCACTTAGTACCTTTCTGCCAATAGTCGCTTATATCTCACCCGAACTTCCTCCTCCCTTAGTTTATACACTTTCACCTCCCGCTTACTTGTTGCCACCTTCCTCTTTTCCCATCTACCTCTTACTCTAACTGTAGCTACAACTAAATAATGATCCGATATATCAGCTGCCCCTCTATAAACATGTACATCCTGGAGCCTACCCATCAACCTTTTATCCACCAAAAATAATCTAACAAACTACTTTCATTACGTGCTACATCATACCTTGTATATTTATTTATCCTCTTTTTCATAAAATATGTATTACTTATACCAAATCTCTTCCTACACATATCTCAATTAAAGGCTCCCCATTTACATTTACCCCTGGCACCCCAAATTACCTACTACTCCCTCCATAACATTTTTACCCACTTTAGCATTGAAATCCCCAACCACCATTACTCTCACACTTGATTCAAAACTCCCCACGCATTCACTCAACATTTCCCAAAATCTCTCTCTCTCCTCTACACTTCTCTCTTCTCAGGTGCATACACACTTACTATAACCCACTTTTCACATCCAATCTTTATTTTACTCCACATAATCCTTGAATTAATACATTTATAGTCCCTCTTTTCCTGCCATAGCTTATCCTTCAACATTATTGCTACTCCTTCTTGAGCTCTAACTCTATTTGAACCCCTCAAGGAAGGTTCCTTGATGTTGGTGAGGGGCTCTTGATTTAGGGAATTGGATCCGTGCTCCAGTTCCCCGAATTAAGCCTGAATGCCTTCCACATCCCCCCCCCAGGCGCTGTATAATCCTCCGGGTTGAGCGCTTTCCCCATGATTATAATATAATAATAATCTAACTCTATTTGAAACCCCTGACCTAATCCCATTTATTCCTCTCCATTGAAACTCTCCCACCCCCTTCAGCTTTGTTTCACTTAAAGCCAGGACATCAAGCTTCTTCTCATTCATAACATCCACAATCATCTCTTTCTTATCATTTGCACAACATCCATGCACATTCAGACTTCCCACTTTGACAATTTCTTCTTATTCTTTTTAGTAATCTTTACACACACATATTATATATATATATATATATTATATATATATATATATATATTATATATATTATATATATATATATATATAATTTATATATTTATTTCAACAAGTCGGCCGTCTCCCACCGAGGCAGGGTGACCCAAAAAAGAAAGAAATCCCAAAAAGAAAATACTTTCATCATCATTCAACACTTTCACCACACTCGCACATTATCACTGTTTTTGCAGAGGTGCTCAGAATACAAACAGTTTAGAAGCATACACATATAAAGATACAACATATCCCTCCAAACTGCCAATATCCCAAACCCCTCCTTTATAGTGCAGGCATTGTACTTCCCATTTCCAGGACTCAAGTCCGACTATATGAAAATAACCGGTTTCCCTGAATCCCTTCACTAAATATTACCCTGCTCACACTCCAACAGATCGTCAGGTCCAAGTACCATTCGTCTCCATTCACTCCTATCTAACACGCTCACGCACGCTTGCTGGAAGTCCAAGCCCCTTGCCCACAAAACCTCCTTTACCCCCTCTCTCCAACCCTTTCGAGGACGACCCCTACCCCGCCTTCCTTCCCCTATAGATTTATATGCTTTCCATGTCATTCTACTTTGATCCATTCTCTCTAAATGACCAAACCACCTCAACAACCCCTCTTCTGCCCTCTGACTAATGCTTTTATTAACTCCACACCTTCTCCTAATTTCCACACTCCGAATTTTCTGCATAATATTTACACCAGGACATCTCCACTGCCTCCAACCGTCTCCTCGCTGCTGCATTTACCACCCAAGCTTCACATCCATATAAGAGTGTTGGTACTACTATACTTTCATACATTCCCTTCTTTGCCTCCATAGATAATGTTTTTTGACTCCACATATACCTCAACGCACCACTCACCTTTTTTCCCTCATCAATTCTATGATTAACCACATCCTTCATAAATCCATCACACACACACACACGTACGTACGTTTGGACCATTTAAGGGTTAAGTGGATGTGACCTGGATCTGACTAGGTTAGGTCCGTGGCTTAAGCTGGTAGATGACTTGGACCTGCCTTGCATGGGCCAGTAGGCCTGCTGCAGTGCTTCTCCTTCCTTATGTTCTTATGCATAAACTAGGAATCCTTGTAAGTTCCATGACTATTTTGCAATTAGTGGACAAAGAATCGAGTTTCCATCACTCCTCTCACTGATGACCCACATGGGTTTAACACTATACAGGACAACAAACTGTATAAGAAGCTTCATTAACAGGTTGACTTGCTACTGACATTGTATTAAACTCTTAAGTCATAAAATACTTCAAATAAATTACCCATAAATGTACAGTATAAAGCTTAAACACTGCAGATCTGGTGCTCTTTGTCAAACATATGTACACATTCTGCAGATCTAGTGTTCATTCCGTCTAGTGTATATACAGTCTTGCATATCTGGCAATCCTTTTTCCTTATTTTAAAATTAAAAAAAAATCAAAGAGTAATTAAATTTTTATGTAATACTTCAATGAATGCATGACTAAAGCTATTGCTGAATCAGAGTAAAAATTAGAGCCATTTATAAAAATGCTAGAAATTTTAGCCCTTTGCCTCAGTACAAATATTAATATATGGAACATGACATTTCTTGTAAGAGGCAAGATTTTTTCCCCAAAGGTAAAAATTAAAATACAATGCCAGATAGAAAGAGTGAACCATTTAAGGTGCATAAAAGGAATTTTCCCTTTAGAAAATTTCATGAAACAACTGTATAATAAATTTCTTAGCATCCAGAAAAAAAGAAAATAAGTACAGGTGGTAGATGCTCTATCCTTATGAATATTTTAAGTGGTTGGAAGAACAGGTTCATTGTTAAAGTCTGCTCTACCACATATGGGTTTCTCTTATCTCTCCAATGATGACATTTGCATTCTGGAGAGCCTATAAAAAGAAAATGATACTATATTAGCTTTCTCATTTTGCATACCTACTATTACCTGAAAATACTCATTCATCTTTCCATTACTGTATGAAAAATGCATGTTCAGGTAACTGCAAATCTAGTAACAATTTTTTTTATCACAGGAGTCACTACTCACAAAATGCACAGCCATAATTACTATTATTATTAGTGTTCATGATAGAGCACTAAATCAGTTTAACTTATTCATCTGTGCATTACAAGGAAAGCTGACAGTAAGGAACAATTGAGGAGGGGGAGCGTAAGTGCAAAAGAAGGCAGTGTTATAAAGAAGTATTATTGTGCTTTCCAAGAGGAGGGCAGCCAGACTAGGGGCATCAAGGTATTGAAGGAGAGGTTGGAGATGAAGTCTACATGCTCTTTTTATAAACAAGATAATCCAAGATATATTTGTTTAACTGTCAGCATGACCTGACAAATCTCACAGAGGAATAGTGGGCTTTTCTCAGAATACAAGTCTCTTACATCCTATGTGCAGTTATAAGAATGCCATTATGACACTTGAAATCAGTGGCCATATATGCAAGTGCGATTTGATTAAAACTGATCAAAATACACTTATACCAATTAAGACACTGGAATAGTACTGGAAAATGCTGCACTTGGTAAAGAGCAACCTCCTGCAGCAGGATGGTAGGGCCTGAGCTACGCAATATGCTGAGGCATCTACAAATTCATGGCTTCAAACACCAGAATGTCAAAGGACCCAGTATAAAAAAAAAAAAAAAAAGTTTGTTAGTTGAAGATGCAACAAAGCACTGAATATAAAGGATGCAGAGATAGGAAAAATTAAAGCCTTGGATCAACTGTAATGCACCTTGAGAGTCTGTAACTACTGTAAGAAAAGTACAGTGGAACCTCAGTTTTCATTTGCCCTGGTTTTTGTTGAATTTGGTTTTCAACAACTCTCTTCGTCAAATTTTGTCCCAGTTTTCGTTCATCACCTAGGTTTTCATCGAGCTGACAGTGGTCCACCATACCAAACGTGTCCACCTGCCCGCACCCACACAAAGCATCCCACGCATTCTGAGTCAGTCTGGCTTTGTTTCTCATCGAGTGAGCATTACCCTGCTCGTTTGTCCGAAGCATTTCGTAATAATCCATGATTTTTTGTGCTTGTTTATTGAGTGCGACTGCTAAATAAGCCACAGGCCCAAAGGAAGTTCTGAGTGCCAGACCTTTGATAAAGAAGGCAAGAAACGCAATAGAATTCAAGAATGAACTCGTAGCAAAGTACGAAAGTGGAATGAGTTTCAAAGTTTCGTGGAGAAATATCACTACCGCCTTCTACAAAGGTAGAGGATGGCAGATTGTGGTAGAAGGTGGTAGTGATGGTGGTAGAGATAACCTCTCCTCCCTCTCCCCTCCTCGCTGTCTTCCATATGCCAACAAGAGTTCAATAAAGGTAAGAGTGATGCTAAATGTTCATATATCCATTTCATTAGAACTTTATACAGTGGAGCCCCGGTTCACGTTATTAATCCGTTCCCGAGAGCTCATTGTAAAGCAAAATTATCAGAAAGCGAATCAATTTTCCCCATAAGAAATTTTTTTTTATTATTATTAACACACTGGCCGATTCCCACCAAGGCAGGGTGGCCCGAAAAATAAAAACTTTCACTATCATTCACTCCATCACTGTCTTGCCAGAAGGGTGCTTTACACTACAGTTTTTAAACTGCAACATTAACACCCCTCCTTCAGAGTGCAGGCACTGTACTTCCCATCTCCAGGACTCAAGTCCGGCCTGCCGGTTTCCCTGAATCCCTTCATAAATGTTACTTTGCTCACACTCCAACAGCATGTCAAGTATTAAAAAGTATTAAAAACCATTTGTCTCCACTCACTCCTATCAAACACACTCATGCATGCCTGCTGGAAGTCCAAGCCCCCCGCACACAAAACCTCCTTTACCCCCTCCCTCCAACCTTTCCTAGGCCGACCCCTACCCCGCCTTCCTTCCACTACAGACTGATACACTCTTGAAGTCATTCTGTTTCGCTCCATTCTCTCTACATGCTCGAACCACCTCAACAACCCTTCCTCAGCCCTCTGGACAACAGTTTTGGTAATCCCGCACCTCCTCCTAACTTCCAAACTACGAATTCTCTGCATTATATTCACACCACACATTGCCCTCACACATGACATCTCCACTGCCTCCAGCCTTCTCCTCACTGCAACATTCATCACCCATTTAAGAGCGTTGGTAAAACTATACTCTCATACATTCCCCTCTCTGCCTCCAAGGACAAAGTTCTTTGTCTCCACAGACTCCTAAGTGCAATAATGGAAATTAAATTAATCCGTGCAAGACACCCAAAAGTATGAAAAAAAAACTTTTACCACATGAAACATTAAGTTTAATGCAATAGAATAATCACAATAACAATACAGTAATCACAATAGAATAATTGACACTTACCTTTAATGAAGATCTGGTGATGACTGATGGGATGGGAGGAGAGGAGTGTCGAAGTTTTTAATGTTTAGAAGGGGAATCCCCCTCCATTAGGACTTGAGGTAGCAAGTCCTTTTCTGGGGTTACTTCCCTTCTTCTTTCAATGCCACTAGGACCAGCCTCACCATGCCTAATCACACTATGTATGCCACTACGATTCTTAAATCTTTCAAGCCAACCTTTGCTGGCCTTAAATTCACTCACATCACCACTAGTTGCAGGCATTTTTCTAATTAAATCCTCATGCCACTGCCTAGCCTTTTCACAAATGAGCGCTTAAGAGATGCTATCTCCAGCTATCTGTTTTTCATTTATCCACACCAGTAACAGTCTCTCAACATTTTCTAACACTTGCGATCGCTGTTTTGTAATCACAGTTGCACCTTTTGCAAGAACAGCTTCCTTGATTGCCGTTTTCCTGCTCACTATAGTTGAGATGGTTGATTGGGATTTACTATACAACTTGGCCAGGTCCGACACACGCACTCCACTTTCATACTTTGCAATTATCTCTTTCTTCATTTCAATAGTCATTAGCACTCTTGGTCTCGAAGGGTTGGCACTAGAAGCTTTCTTGGGGCCCATGGTGACTTATTTCGCAGAAACAAGCACCAGAAACAGTGATAATATGGAATGTACCGAATGTATCCTTAGATGCGCACACACTGGCTGACTTGTAAACATTGGTACACACGGGGCAGTTCAGGCCACATGTGGACACGTCTCGTACGAATCGTATCGCGTACCGGATTTTGTAACGGGAACCGAGGCAAATTTTTTGCGATATAACGCTTCGGATACCGGATTTATCAGTTACCGATGACTTCGTGAACTGGGGGACCACTGTATTTATTTCTCATTGTCTTTTGTATGTAAAACTATAGTTATTCCCTATAAAATGTATTTTTTGTCAACCCTTTCAGGGTTTCGGCCGTACTAGTACGGCTTACGCATCAGGGTCCTTGACGTACTAGTACTCATAAATTCTAGCGCCTTCAAATCTAGTGAGAGAAAGCTGGTAGGCCTACATATGAAAGAATGGGTCTATGTGGTCAGTGTGCACAGTATAAAAACAATCCTGCAGCACACAGTGCGTAATGAGGAAAAAAAAAACTTTGACCGTGTTTTTGGATTAAAACAGCGACTTTGCACTGTATTTTCGTATGGTATTTATTATTGTATTCTAGTTTTCCTGGTCTCATTGTATAGAATGGAAGACATATTACAGAAATTGAGACGATTTTGACTGGTTTTACAACGAAAAGTACATTGAAATTGAGCTCAAAGTAGCAGAAATGTTCGATTTTTACCAAAGTTCAAAAGTAAACAAATCATGCTAAGCATCGAATACACGTCAACTGGTGAGTCTAATATTCTTTCACAAGTGCGCCAATATTATTTATAACATTTATACACTAATGCAGTAGTCTGCATAACAGTAAATCTTCTATTTTTTGTAAGAATAAAAATTCAAAGTGGAAAGCAAAAGAATGTAAGAGGGGCGTGGGGATGTGACTAATGAACAGAGGAAATGTTATTTTAGTGCCAGGAATGTCTTTCTTGTTTATTCTGGACCCTATTTGGAAATTGGCATCTTTTGAAATTTGTGTGAAATTGGCAAAATTGCTAAATTCTGACCACTGTATTGGATAGTTGAAATCAGTAAATTGGTGGTTTCTTGTACTCATTCGATAGAAAAAATGGAGTTCTAGCGAAATAGTTATGATTTTTGTCGACTAGTACATTGGAATTGAAAGAAAATAGGGCTCAAAGTGGGCAAAATCGCCGATGTGTAAACATCGTCGAGACCGCTAACTTCACGAGAGCATAATTCTGCAAGTTTTCCATCAAATTTCATACTTTTGGTGTCATTATGAAAATAGAAAAACAACAAAGAAAGAAAATACAAATAGAAATAGGTAGCAGCCCAGCCACCGTCGAGAGAAGACGTCGTCGTTCCTGCTCTTCAGCTGAGCAACTCTGAACACTGTTGCTCGAGATTTTTCTTGAGTTATCCTGAGTAATTCTTCACCAGAGCTGAGAGGAAACTTGCTTGCAGTCACTTCGAGCCCCATCCCATCAAGAGGGTAAGGCGGTGCCTTGCTTGCTTGTTCACCCCTCTCATCCCCATCCCCCCATCCTTCCCCATCCTCCCCTCTCCCAAACATCAACATGGCCACACACTTAACCCCTACATACATTGCTATCCTTCTGACTTTCCTATCTTCTTCTTTTTCGGCAACTTCGCTTTGGCGAGTTAACAAAAGGCATTTTGACCATCCGGTAGCCGGTGTGGTTTTTTAAAATCCGGCCGATCTTTGCCTTGGGCCCTTTCCCCCTCACTACTCGAGGGTAGGCTTATCTTGGGGGGCTGACCTTCATAAGTCAGCTGAAATAGGATGTCAGATTAACTTAAAGGGAAAGACCCCTTTTTTGTTTATGAAACTCCTCTGCCAGATGTTCCTTCCTAGACATCATGGCGAGGATACGTTTTAAGAT